TTTCACAAGAATTCTGCAGCACTAAGCTTCTTTCTCTCTCTTTTAGACTTGCTTGGGAAGAACTAGTCACGAGTAGGGCTGGATAAATAGGAGGCTATAAACGGCACTAAATCTACATCCAATGTCGCTGGCTGCTGGAGGTTATGCATGTTAAACAACAGCTTGAGAGGTGAAAATAATGGGCTGCATTCGAAGGGTCTGCAGAGCTAAAACTTGCATCTGTCTGACATTTTCACTTTGTAGGTGTGTATGTAAGTTGCCACCTAGAAAGCTCAGTAAGAAGACAAATTGAAAATGAATGAAATTCTATGAAAATAACCACAACTCCTTCTACATTATGTTCCATAAGTATCCATACCATCAAAAAAGTGGGGGGGGGGAGAGAAAGAAACTATAGGTATGAGGCAGGGTTTTTATTCAGTACCTGACCACATGCTTTGCATTGAGTAGGTCCCATATTCAGTCCACTGTAAAAGTCATACTTTGATGCATACTTAGGCCATACAGACACTGTACTTCTGAAAACAACTTTAAACTGGATATCACATATGCCCGAATGGTAAAAGCTAATGGCACTCTATCTCAAACCTCCTTTTTACCCCCTTTTTTAGTTCAATGTAATGTTAAAACAAATATTTTGATTCAGTCTTCTATACACAGTGAAAAGTAAGACCGAATCCAACGCTGCAGTGCAGATTTTCACAGAAATTCCACAGATTTTCCCTGTGCAACCCCAAAGACATCTCTAGAAAGGCAACAATCTGGAACAGATGCTGAAGGTGGGGATGTAGGAGAAAGAAGAGGAAGGGCAAGTTCTCTGGTGCAAGAGAAAGTACGTTGCACAGGCAGAATGACAGTGCTGGATACAACCCATAATTATTAACACCAAGCAATAATCAATAGGTAAAGAAGGGTAGACAATTATTGCATTTGCACGTGCTTTAACTACTAGGTCCTTTGACAGCATTTCAACTGTTCTGTAAATCCGAAATGTTAAGCAGTTGGGCATCTTTGCTTGGAATGCAGAAATATGTGAACACTGCAGATGTGGTTTGCAAAATACATTGACTCTTTGAACTAGAGACTCTGAAGGCATGCAGTTTGCAGTCAGGGATATAAAAAGGCATTGTTTTCTGTTGCAGCCTGTATTTGTCACATGCAGCACAGTTTCATCTAGACTTGAGGTTGCATTTTGCTCAAAACTATACCATTTGTCTCACTGTCCACTCTGGAAAAAAATAGGTACCTTCCCTAATATACGTAATGAATTATGCAAATTGTGTAAATTACACTGTCATGATGTTATTCCGCTGCATTCATTTCAATGCAAAAGGTGTGTGTGTAATCAGTTACGGATCATTTGCAGATTGAAAGCAACAGCCACAGGGAATACTGTAGGAGATTTCCGTTCTGGACATGGGACAGATAACTGAACCTCAGCAATTTCTGCTCCCATTTCTGTCAGAATTCTTCGACATCCCTAGTTGGGATGTGACCTTTACATGAAGAACATTCAAAATGGATTTGTCCTTGCAACTTTGTTTCCACCAGGCATAGGAGCCGACTCCAGGCACCCACAAACTCAATGAGAAAAGCCGGCAGGCCGCTGTGAAAGCTTCCATGGCAGATGGCCATCCAACATCTGCTTAACAACCTCCAGTCAACCACCTTCCAAGAGATTCCATTCCACTGTCAAGCAGCTCTTACTGCCCAAATGTTCTTCCTGATGTTTAGTCAGAATCTCGTTTCTTGTAACTTGAAACCAGGTTATGGAAGCCTTACTGAAATCAAGATACACTATGTCCACAGCATTCCCCTGATATACTATGTCCACAGCGTTCCCCTGATCTACGAGAGAAAAGCAGTTCAGCTCTGCCCTCTGCAGCCAGCCAGCGAGACACCCTTTTTGGGGGTGGGGCTTGGACATGGAGGTGGAGTCTCTCTGCCTCCGAGTGTGAGCCCCTCCATGCGGCAAAGGGTACCTCACTGGCTGCAGAGAGGAGGAGGAAGAGGAGCTGCCCCTGGTCGCCGCAACTCGGATGTGCAATGTCACACACACACGCTGACACGTAGTGCAGGCAACAGGAACCCATAATCCTGAGGGCAAGATGGCATCCTGTCACCAGAAAATGATGCCCAGTACCCTGTACTGATAGTTAGTGAATATAAATTGTGAATTAGTGCAGTTTGCAACTTGTAAGCGAAATACTTTTGCCACAGTGAACAGTGAGACGAATAATGTGCTTTTAGGCAAAAGACAAACTCCTGAGGAAAATGTACTGCTTGCGATGAATACAAAGTACAACAGGAAATGGAGCCACCGTACAGCCCTAATCGGAACAGATTCAAAGTACTTGCCTTCAGATTCTCCTGTTCAAAGATATTTTTTTTAAAAAAGAAAATAGTGACTTATAATGTTTAAAGTCCAAAACTGCCTTGAAATAGCATCTTATTTCTTGTTAATGTTAGTCATACCAATGTTCCTGTAAAAATTTATATATGCTCCATAACTGTGCATTTCTGATCTTTTGTACTTCATCCCAAAGCAAAGAAAAAAGCAAATTCATTTTTGTGGGAATTATTTTCACGTTCAAGACTTTCTTTAGTTATAGCTATTGCACTGATCCGGTCTGACTCCTGTATTTTTTTGTCATAGTATATTTGAGGCATTGACAACTCAAATTACTACCATCCCCTAAAGAATACCCATTTGTGCCTCGTTTTCAGTAGCACCTCTGATGTCTGAAATATTTGTTTTCTTTTTTAATGACACCCTTTTCCCATTTTATTTTATGTGCCTTTAGAGATTGCCCTTGCAAACATATATTGGAATAACTTTAACTGCAAAGAGCAGTGATAGGTTGGGGCTAGGAAGATAAACCTTTCTTTTTAAAAAAAATGCAGAAAGACTTGAGAAAACTACCTTCACATTAATTCAGTGTTGCTGACAAGAAAATCTCTGAAACAGGGAATTTTGATGTGGCTAATGCATTCATTTGGTGTTAAGGAATAATTTGCAACTAAGCATCTTAAAAGAAGCTGCTTACTGATTCTGATAAGCACCTTTATTGCAAATGAGTTCTGTTAATTGCCAACGGCTCTTCAAGTAAGAACTTTTCTGCATGGTTTGGTGAAGAAAAATATTGAATATAGATAATGGGTGACCCAAATTCCGATTTATACCATGATCATTAGCACCCAGGCAACTTAAAGCTAATAGGATTGACGTCTCATACCCCAGATGTAGTACCTTACTAGATTTATCTGTTTAAACCTGGAGTTGAATGTGGGGGCAAGTAGAGATGGAATACAGATTTAGAATTGTATACAGCATTGTCAAGAGGAAAGGAGTGCATGCTTTATACTAGAGTTTATTGCACATATTCTCAAAGGAAACTTTAAAATAGTTTAGATGTAAGCTGAAAGCATTATCCCCACTACACCTTTAATAGCCCCCTGCCCTTCTCTAATAGTGTCATTAAGATGGCCCCCGTTGAGGGTCATGGGTGACTGTCAGTCATCACTGCGTAAGAGTCCAGTCAGTCAGTGACATATTTTTATCTGTTTACACGCATACGAAAGTGGGATAAAAGGTGGAAAATGAGATACGAAATGCCTCAAATCATCACACTCGGCTGATAATAACTGGATATATTGCAAAAGTAATACAAATGATGCTTGCTTAAAAATTAGCTATTCATATGTGAGAACTTATCTGACTTCTGCCATGCTTGAGCTCCACTCTGTAAGAGAGTTATTGGAATGCGGAGTATCTCATAAAAGTATCTATTCAGAATGTTCTCTTCTCAGAAACCTATTTTCTGTTGCATAACATTTCCCCCCACATATTTTATTAATACCCACCTATCTATAATGAAGATAAAGAGAGGGCTGATTGTGCTTAAAGGGACACTTCACTCTTTTGAAACTCCTTTTTAGGCAACCCATACTGATTCTGTTGCTACACACAGCATAACTATTTCTATGCATTACTTTCTTTGTGACAGTTTAGTGAGAATGCAGAGCATCCAGATTGCAGGAAGGCAGGCTGCATGTATTTCAGCTGACATGTGTGCTAGGGAGAGACAGTAAGTTTGGATATGCTCATTACTGAGATTTGATTAACGGTGCATACTGTAGCTGGAAGGTATTTTTTTAAAAAAGTATGTTCTTTTGAATTTGAATTCAACAGGCACTCCTCACCTGCCACCCCCTCCCCTTGAACACCTGACAGCCACCTCCTCCCTTCCTGCCAAGGACGCACAATGGCTGCCTCCCTGCTGTTACTAATTCTATATTATTAACTGCTATTATGCGTTAGGGTAGCTCTGTGCTAGTTGTTAGTCTTTTAGTGTTGTTATGAAAGGGGTGTTTTTTCCAGGTGATATCTAATGGCAGCCCTACTCAGAGCAGACCTGTTGAAATCACTGGACATAAGCAGTGTCTCGTTTGGATATCAGCCATGTTGGGTTTGGTATTCGTCTTTTGCGACTCAGAGCAGACCTGTTGGACACTGGACATAAGCAGTGTCTCGTTTGGATATCAGCCATGTTGGGTTTGGTATTCGTCTTTTGCAATGGTGCTGGAGGAGACTCTTGAGAGTCCCATGGACTGCAAGAAGATCAAACCTATCCATTCTTAAGGAAATCAGCCCTGAGTGCTCACTGGAAGGACAGATCCTGAAGCTGAGGCTCCAATACTTTGGCCACCTCATGAGAAGAGAAGACTTCCTGGAAAAGAACCTGATGTTGGGAAAGATTGAGGGCACAAGGAGAAGGGGACGACAGAGGACGAGATGGTTGGACAGTGTTCTTGGAGCTACCAACATGAGTTTGACCAAACTGTGAGAGGCAGTGAAAGACAGGAGTGCCTGGCGTACTCTGGTCCATGGGGTCACGAAGAGTCAGACACGACTAAACGACTAAACAACAACAACAGTAAGAAAATCCAGTGGGAACGTGTACATAGAGGGCAGCTGCTAAGTCCACAGACCTCTTTGCCAAATGGCAGCTGTTGACCAGTCTTCTTCTTCTCTGGTGATCACTCATAGCTGATCACGGTTTTAACAATGAGTTTGTAAGTCACTGTGGAGGCCAATTCTGGATCCACACGTCCTTCCACAGTGGGGACATTGGTTTCTGGGTGGGAGTTGATCACGGATTTGCCAAGCCTGTCCTCCTCTTAGCACGTTTTTCCCTTGCATCCTGAGTTCAAGTGTCTTCAAAGCCTTTGGTAAAAGCTGTTCTCCAATTGGAGCGCTCACAGGCCAGTGTTTCCCAATTGTTGGTGTTTATACGACATTTTTTTAAAAAATTGCATTGAGACAGTCTTTAAACCTCTTTCCATTTAAAGTCCATGGAAAGTCTTTAAACACTTTCCATTTTTAAGTTCGGAATAGAGTAGTTGCTTTGGAAGACGATAATCTGGCATCTGCACAACATGACCAGTCCAACGAAGTTGATGTTGAAGAATCATTGCTTCGATACTGGTGATCTTTGCTTCTTCCAGTACACTGGTATTAGTTCACCTGTCTTCCCAAGTGATGTGTAAAATTTTTTGGAGACACCGTTGATGTAATCTTTCAAGGAGTTGGAGATGGCGTTTATAAGTGGTCCATGTTTCACAAGCATACAGTAAGGTTGGTAGTACAACAGCTTTGTAAACAAGCATTTTGGTTTCCCTGCGAATGTCCCGGTCCTCAAACACTAGTGCATGGAGAAGAATATGGGGAAGCAAAGGGTTCTAACAACTGCTTTGTGGGACGAAGGTCACAGGCTCAACCCACAGCATCTCCAGTTAGGGCTGGGACTGGGAGTGTGTCCTCCCGGAAATTCCCAAGAGCCACTGCTGGGTCAGTGTAAGCAATACTGAGATACTAGATGAACATATGAGTCGACTCAGTACGACAGCTTCCTGTGTTCTCTCATAGTGGCTGCAGTCGCTCATTGCTTCAGTGCCCATGCTCCCTGGTAAAAACCAGAGGCTGGTTAGAAACTGACAAAACAGTTTTGGGTTTTCTTTTTCTTTTTTGAATGAAGTAGAGTTGCTTTAAGATTCAGTAGCTACCCATAAGCTTCCAGAAATCACTGGCAAACTGAAGGAAACTGCACCATTTTGGGGCCTTGTTTTTTTGTTTTCTTGCCTTTCTTCAGAAGGCACTGGTGGGGGAAAAATCTATTCAAATAAATTCTCATATCCCACTGATATCTTATTTTGCTCTTGTTTGTTTTGTTCCCCTTTCATCCTTCCTAGACTAAAAGGAGAAAAAAAAGGTGTGGCTAGGGTTGTGTCACCTCCTCTTGACAGAAAAGATTGAGCTATTAATAACATTAATTATAAAATACATTTCAAAGGATAATTATTGCTAACATTGATTTCTCGCCAGCCTTTTTTGTGTCTCATTCCATTTCTGTTTGGAATGGAAGTACCATCAGATGTATCAAATACAGACTCTAACATTTTCAGATCATGTTTAAAACCAATTTTAAAAGTGTGCTAAGCTGTCAACTAAATTTGAGATGCCTACGGATTAATTTACACTGTAGTAGATGTTAGGACAAATGGCAAGAAGGTGTCCTTGGTAATTTTTTTATTTTATTTTAGCAAAGCTAGATGGAAAAAATACAGCTGCTGCTTATAGTGCTTATCTAGCCTTGTAGGGCTGAAAACCTTTAAAGAAAATCCACAATGCTCAGCAGGAAATCCACTCTGTATCACAGCCCTCCAAAGGAGAAAGATTAATAGCTACCTATGATTTTTGTAAAGCATGATGTTGATGGTAGAAGAGTGAGAATCCTCACCCTACATTCTTAAGTGCATCCTCCCTTTTATAGGCTTTTCTTTATAGGAAGACTTGAACTAAATTCATCAATGCTTAATACATAAGTTTAGCAAATAGAAGCCACCTGTGTGAAACTGAGCCATATGGAAGCAGGGGCTGAGCTAAAGTCTGAATCTTTGCAATTTGACTATTTGCCTTTGAAGCCCCTGTGTGCTTTCCTAGTTTGGATTTTAATCCAAGCCAGGAAAGAAAACTTCTTTTCAGGAGAAGAACTTCTACTTCCCACTGGCACCCACCAGCCCACCTGGCTTCCACTGCTATGGGCACAAGGGAAAGTGGTCCTTTTCTTTCCCCTTTATGTATTTGAAGTGCCTGCTGCATGAGGCCAGTGACCCACACCTAAGTCCAGCATCTTGTTCTCATAGTGGCCAACAAGAAACCCATGGGAATACCACAAGCAGTATCCCAAGCACAAGAGCATCCTCATCTCCTGAGATTTGCAGTAACTGTTATTCAGATGCGTACAGCCTCTGACTGCGGAGACACAGCATAGCCATCATGGCTAGAATCCTCTGATAGCCTTATCTTCCATGAATTTGTCTAATCCTCTTCAAAAGCCATCCAAGTTGGAGGCCATCACTGAAGAGACCCTTGCAGCTTAACTAAGTGGCTACAGAATCCACAGAATGAGCATTACATGTTGGGATGAATCTCACATGGCGGTCTTGTCATCTGAAGCTTCCATGAGGCAAGATGCTTGGTTAGCCTTCATGGCAAAGAAGAATAACCAAATGAATATATCTAGCTCTCACCTATCCTTACCATCTCCATCCCTCAACTGAACTCCTTTGCCTGAAGGGTCTTAAAGGAGCTGCAGGGAAAGGCAGCTATTCAACCAGTTGGGCTTTTGGAGGGCATAGAAACGTGATAGAGGCTCTCCTCTGCTCTCACGGACTATTACAATTAATACAAAAGAAGAAAATCCATTCATACTATGTGAAATCCTTTGCACTGCCCTTTTCAAGGGTGTGTGGGTGTGTGACGGTGTTTGGTTTAAACAATAAACGTCGTTCTCCAGGCCAGTTGTGACATTCCTCAGAGTTATGCCAATTCTACTCTTCAATATGTTTTTCTTTTCCTTTGGTCTCCTTTGGCAGGTCCTTGTTAGTGCACCTAGCAACATGACCTGCATTTTAAAAGTTGCATCTGTTTTATTGAGATTTGAGGCAGATGCCCAGTAAGGCTTCCTACTTAAGAGAGACTGGTTTTTATAGATAACTAAAAAGGAAGAATTGTTGCTAGCCGAGTGTGTGTGTGTGTGTGTGTGTGTTTAAAAATGCTTTAAATTTATTCAACTTGTAATGGATCCAAAATTCATAGTTTTACCTTAGAAGTGCTTTTTAAAAAATCTTTCATAGCTAGACTTGGCGGTGTTTTACATTGCTCTTCAAAAGAGCTGCTGTGCCTGGCAACCCTCATGTTCATTAATTTCATTAATACAATGGCTTGCGTTGAATGGCCTTTCATCTAGTGTGCATCTTTCATGCAGTGGGGTGCCAAGGGACCAAGAGCTCAGATTCCAGAGTGCCCAACAGGGAGCGCTGAGCAAGAATTAAATGGCAATAGAGCCCTCCAAATCTTTCATTAAAAAAAAAAATCAATCACATTTCAAGCAGCAGTGTCTCTGTTAAATGGGATCATCTTAATAGATGGTCCTGGTTGAGGGCAGGCCCTCAACCCAGCCCCCAGCCCCCCGCCCTGGTGTGGGTGGAGCCATCACCCTCACGCCAGGGTGGCACCATGATTACCTAGGGCTATTGCCCAATCAATTTGAATGGGTGATCATGGGGGAATGTATAAAAGCGGCAGCGCGACGTGTGCCAAGCACCTGCTTCACGCTGTCAAACACCCGCCCACCCTCCCTTTAATTTAAGTGTCCTTTGGCCTTGCTTTGGACTTCGGTTGGTTGCCCAGCTTGGGTCGGGGACCGGGTAGGAATTTTTCCATTTGGCAAATTGGCACGGGCCACTTGGTTTTTGCCTACCTCTTAGCAATCATCACAACTTTGTAAGATTTGGCGGTTAGGCATTGGCTTATTGTTGAGTGGGGGAGGGGAGGTCGGCCATCGCCTGCCCCTCCATTGTTCAAGGGTATTCCGTTAAAGGAATCCGGGGCCTGGATCTTGTCCAAAGTCTGCTGAGGGGCTAGGGCCATGCCAGGCCTCTGGGAACACCGGGGGAGAGGCAGGTGGCTTCCCCCAAAGCAGTTTCCCTTTGGGTGGTTTACCCTTACAGACTTCCTGCACAGGGGGCAGGAGTCAGAGATAGTCTTTGGCCAATGCCTAAGCCAATACTGCTCTCATTTCCTGTAATCAATAAAGTTGTGGCCCAAAAATTTGCCCAATAACCTTAAACAAAAATTCTGTGTCTGTGTGAATTTCTTTATGCTAATAGGGGATTGGCTTGAGGGTCTTGCCACACAAACAGTAGAGGCTGTGACTATGGGGGAAATGGAGCAGCTAAAGTATACAGTCATAGCTTGGATCCCAAATGCCCTGTGAGTTGAACATTTTGGCTCCTGAACGCCGCAAACCCAGAAGTGAATGTTTCGGTTTGCGAACGTTCTTTGGAACCCGAACATCTGATGCGACTTCCATGGCTTCTGATTGGCTGCAGGAGCTTCCTGCAGCCAATCAGAAGCCGCGTCTTGGTTTCCGAACGTTTTGGAAGTTGAACGGACTTCCAGAATGGATTCCATTCAACTTCTGGGGTACCACTGTATGTCCTACCAGTTCCTGAAACAGGTTGTCAAGAGGCAGTGTGGAAGTATAAGCCTTGGGTGGTAACTGTGGCCCTCCAGGCCCTCAGCACTCTTCATCCAAACTCACCTCAGGCCACATTCCTCACTTTAGTGCTTTTGCTAGTCTGGAATGTAGCCTTGAACTCCCTGCTTGAGTAGATGGAGGATAGAGAAGGGTGTATGAATGTGTGTAAGACTAGCCAGTTTCATGCCCTCCAACATACCTCAGATAAAAATAGTGTCATTGTCCCTGCCCCCTCACCCCCTCATCCTCTGAGGCTGGGATGCAGTGGCTGAGTGAAGCAAGCCAGAGCCAAAACTTTCTTAGGGGTATTCATGTGACTTGGTTCTTGTTTTCATAAAAAACAACAGGAAGTGACACTTACTGAGTGGGGGTACTGGAAGGGAGTGGGAGGCACAGATCTAAGAAAAGTGCAACACACTGAAATGCTGTGCTGAAAGGAAGCTGCTTGCAAAATCAAGACTCTCTGTGGCACTGTGAGAAGCCATGATGGCTAGAGGCTTTGGGGAACATTCCTGGGATTTTGGGGGCAATTGCACGGTATGCAGTGTACAAAGGTATAATTTGTATTTGCATTTGTTCCTTTGTCCATGGTAGTGACTTTACCATGTTGACAAGGATAAAGAGAATTGGGCAAGAGTTGCATTGTCAACATAAGCAAAAACCCATAGAAGTGAAGCTGAAAAAGTTATCCACAAAATAAATAGATGCCAAATTAGTATTTATATTTTTAACGTAACATGGGTTAAAAACAAAACAAAATGGGAGCTAGCTTCCTTATTAAGGATAACTATTATTCCATTTCAACTATCCATTATTTCGTGCACCGCGAGAGCAGCACGTCCTGAAACATAGCAAGCTTAATTCAAGAGCTTGTGAATGTCACCACTTAAGCGCACTGTACAAGTTAAAGATGGATATATGATAGATGAGCTAATGGAAATGTGTTTTATTGCCTGTCAAATAGGTCAGAAAAGATCTTAAAATGTCTTCCATGCCCATTTTCAGGCATCTGCTGTTAACTTGGATTTTGCAAGGCGTTAGATCCCTTTTAAATGCACGATTGCTCCCTTAACCTCTTGTTCCTACTACTATTCTATTCAGTTCGCTCTACGGACTGCAATGCCATATTCACTTTTGTTCGTAAAGGCAAAGGATGGTTTTTTGGGTGGTGGGGTGCCCTCTACCAAGTGGTCCAAGTGGTGGAGGCCAGCTTTAAATATCTTGCAACTGAATTCATACTTGGCAAGCAAGGAGAAGAATTTTTATGAGCTTGGTTTAAGAGATTCATTTTTTTCCCTTTTATAAATCTCTCTGTGTGTGTCCTGATTCTTAGATAAGAGAAACACTTATCTGAAGAAGGCAGCTGGACTGAGAAAGTAATACATTTTAGTAAAATGAAGTCTGCGAGTTCAAAGTACAAGAATGTAAATCATGGAATGCTCAGAGACGGCTTATTTTGCTGCACCATCCTAGCCATGGAACTAAATGTCGTTGGACAAGTCTCACTGTCTTAGACCGACCTACGTCACAAGGTAGTTGTGAGGATAAAGTGGAGGTTTGGAAGTTATGCAATGCCCTGAATTCCTTGGAAGAATGGCAAAAAAGAAACATATTTTTAAAAAGAAAACAAACTTCTTAAATGACACTGGACTTGCGTAGTTGTATCTGGGTGGAGACAGGTGTTTTCTGATCCTGTTCTATTCTTGATAGAGACAATAAAGTTATTGCCTAGTTCCCAGCTGGTGTGTTCTCTAAGTCTTCCATAACATTAGTGCACAAATATTTCATGTGATTTTGGAAACTCGTTTGTTGAAGAGGTCAAATTTCATAGCAACGGAACAAATCTTCTCAATGTTATAAGGAACATTCTTGCGTGTGTGATTTGAGCAGACCATTAGCACACCTTGAACACAGAGCTGCTTTCACAACTCTATAATTAGAAAGAAACTCATTTATATAATTTAATGTTGGCATTAAGTGGTGCTTCATTACTCTTCACAACTTTTTTGTGTCTTACTTGAATAGAGACTTCACACATTGCCATAAGTCTTTCCTCCTGCCTGTCTGGAGTTCTTCTAAACTGGAGGATAAAAGGAGGGAAATGGAGATTTTCTCACTGGATGCAAAGTTTAACAGCCGGTTTCTTCACTATCCCAAATCAGATTGAGAAGAGGGCCTGCCCATGGCTCAGTTGTAAAGCACATGTTTTCCATACAAAAGATATCTCTGATTAAAAGGATTCTGGGTATCAGAGCCATAAAAGGCATTCTGCCTAAGACTTGAAGGGCTACTGCCCTTGAAGCAGAGGCCACTGGGTGAAATGGACCAAATGCAAGGCACCTTCCCATGTTCTTCTCTCCTACTAATTATTTAAATGGTAAAAAAGCCAGCCTGAAATAAAAACAACCTGTTGCCATTGTTATTATCGTCTAGCTCTCAGTAGACATTTTAGGTACCTGCGGCATCCATAATGATTCTAGAAGTTTAAAATGTAGGAGTGGAGTCTAATAAGCTCCCAAGTCTTGTTCGCCCATGTCTCTGGGAATCACAAGTAGAGAGAGTTCCCCTTTGCAGGCTTCTCCTGGGTTGGCCACTGTGAGAACAGAATGCTGGACTAGATGGGTCCTTGGTTGACCCAGCAGTGCTCTTCTTAGGTTGCATAAGCTCCTCCCCCTTGTTGGTTTAGAATAGCTCAGTCAGTAGAGCATGAGACTCCTAATCTCAGCGTTGTGAGTTCAAGCCCCACCTTGGGCAAAAGATTCCTGCATTGCAGGGCATTGGACTAGATGATCCTTGTGGTCCCTTCCAACTCTACAATTCTATGATTCTAAGTACAATAATTTGTAGTTGATGTCATTTTTTATTGCATTTAGTGATCACAACTTTTGTTTTAATCTTGCATTTAGAAAATTATTACCATCTTGTTACCTGACAAAGGAGTATGTTCTGGGAGCACATGTTTATGTGATGAGATCTGTGTCTGGTGATACATCATGAAATAAATTTTAAATACTGATTTTTTAAAATAATCAACACCTGTGCATAGAATCAGTTGTGTACCTGATCCATTAAAATATTATACAATATTCTGTGGCAATATTCCATTTGATAACTGTGGTGAATTTCTGTTCATGTGATTCCTATAA